ACATGAATTGAAAGAGCATGGGTGTATTTAGAAGACATGCTCTTTCCAATTCATGTGGTGTATTTAGAAGACATGCTCTTTCCAATTCATGTGGTGTATTTAGAAGAACATGAATTGAAAAGAGCATGTCTTCTAAATACACCACATGAATTGAAAAGAGCATGTCTTCTAAATACACCACATGAATTGGAAAGAGCATGTCTTCTAAATACACCACATGAAATGAAATGAGCATGTCTTCTAAATACACCACATGAAATGGAATGAGCATGTCTTCTAAATACACCACATGAACTAAAAGGAGCAAGTCTTCTAAATAAAGAGCATAAACTGAAAAGATAATTTATTCTAAATAAATAAAAAAGCGCTAATTAAAATAAGTACGTCTTATAAATGAAGTATGTCCGTTTCATTTAAACACAGCGCATGAAATGAAATCAGAATATCAGCGCATTGCTGAATCTCTAAGAAATTAGACCTTTATTTGATTATTCCAGATACTTACGGCAAACTACGGACTAGATAAGAAGTAGCTAGTCAACAGCACCCACCGCCAACTTTTGGGATATTCTAACAGAATAGTAGGATTTGACCGTCAATTTTATAACGAACTTACGGCCTCAAAGTGCGGAGTGTTATTTGTAGCAACGTGATGAGAACCATGTATCCTCGGATTCACAGTCCGGCACACTCACCACTAGGCCACACTCGGTTCACGTTTTGAAAAACTTAATAAACAGTTAGTGGCTACTATCGAAAGGTGTAACAAAATAAAATAAAAACATTTACAGGTTATAAGTACCTCAAGAGTTGGGCAGCGTGAACTTTTGACAGTGATTTGTCACAGAGATTTCTGAGTTTTCTAGGAATTTGGGTTATAAAAATTATATATCATACAAACATAGATGTAAAAAGAACGTGTACTAATTATTATAAACTTCTAATGTCTCTGTGTAAATAAGGCTTTTGGGGGGTTCCAAGCGTTTCTCAAACTATTCATTTTCTATGTTATTATGGGGAAAGATAAAATATTTTTGGGAGTATTAAAAATGAGCAAAGTAACATTAAAAAAACAACAGCCTGATACCGACCTGAAGAAACAGTGACCAGCAGACACAAGCCATTGATCATTTACCAATACTGCTCCACACTGATATTTACCATCCCTGTACAGCGCCACCTGCCAAGGCCAGGAACCCGAAGATGAGGAGCGCCCTCCAACAATACGTTTTCTAAAACTCGCCGTTACAGGACGTATGCCACACTCTAAAAATAATACAAAGAGAGGATTTTAATAAACGTCGATCAGTTATCCAATTCATAAACATCAAAGTACAATCTTCTGCATTTTTGCAAGAGCAACAACAAAAAATATTACTGTTATGCTAAAACCTAAAAGTTTTCTTGATTGTATACTATATTCTGTAATTTCTTTTAAAGTACAGTGAACAAAATTTAAACAAATGCTACCGAAATGCAATGGCTTACATAAAGAGAACGATTTGTAAATAAGACTGAACTAAAATGATTAAAATTTTTACCTTACCTAAGGAGGAACACGTTACGTGCATTACATTTTTTTCTTCACATTTTGACGGCTGAAATAAGTGGGTAGACCTAAAGGTTGGAAATAGTTTACCCCATAAGTGAAAACAGTTTCAAGTTTAGGCTTATTCGTTAACTAATATTCTACATAAAAGAATCGTTTAATTTTAGGTTAGATTTGAAACAAAATATGGTTATATACTTCGACCATCAGTTACCCAAACTTCTACTGTATAAGATATTACACAATAGAGAGTGTTATGTTTGTTTATTTGTTTGGGCTATCTTAGCTCTGCCCACAATTTGTGAGATGTAGTGTGGTTGATGCATCATACCATATTATTCTTTGCTTTTACTCATAAGTTTTAGAATTACACTAATGTTTAAAGTATGTATTTTTTTTGTATTTTTATACGTAGTTCACACTGTACTTGCTGTCATCAAATTAAAAAAAAATTTAACTCACCTCGAAACGGGTAACAGTTCAGAAGAGGGCGGAGTAAATTCGAAGTAAACTGAACTCTTGCTAGACGTTTCTGATCCTATACTTACAGATTCCACGTTCCTAGACAAATATTTTATTAATCTGTTTTATGTTTGACAGTATGTTTGAAAATAGATAATCTTCAGTTAGCTTTTAATTAATTTCACACCTTTACACTGGAATTATTATCCACGATGCAAAATGTTATATATATATTCATTAGAATTTCCTTGACATTTCATTTTAAATTAAACTAGAAAAATAACTAATTCTCTGAGAAACAGCTTTTATTAAATTAATCAAGTTTATTAAATTAACAAAAAAATTCTTTAAACACCCCACGTTAAAAAGAAAGGACATCAGTTAAAAACTTTACCATGAGGTGGCATCTTTAAAGACTTTGCTTTCTTAAATTGACTCCTGACGATAAAAGATTTTAAAAACTTCAACTAAACTATTTTCTTATTAATTAAATATTTGGAGCATTCACTTAATAATTGACAAATAATATGACTGGTTATCAATAAACATTGAGAGAATGGGTTATTAAATAACATTTAACTTGCTGTGCATTACAATATAAAATAAATATAAGATATGCCTAGGACACATGTGGATATTCAAAACCAAACCTGTACGACAAGGCACTACAGATAGCTTCTCCAAGCTCATCAACTTTCCACTGGTTGTTATCAACACAGAGCTTTCCCCAACGTCCGTGTTTACGAACCATTACTAGACCTTTATTCTGATAATAATGATCAGACAAAGTTTCGTCATCAGCGAGTCTAACTGTAAATAATCCAAATTTAAATTTTTACATATTTCCAAAAACTTATAATCGATTATAATTATTAATCCCAATTCTAAGAAATAGAAAAAAAATAAAAAATTCATACCACTAATTGGGAATTAGTTCAATAAAAATGTCTAAAAACAGTTATGACATTCTTTATTCGGCTAAGAGTTTATGGAAATTCTTTTGTTAGGTTTCACTGAATTAACAATGAAATTAAAATTAGTGAATAACAATGTAAGATGTAACTAAACACAGTTTGTAGATGTGATTAGCAATATATTTAAGGTTACCACAATGGATTTCATCTGTTCCATGAAGACAGTCAACAGTACCGTCACAGACTTTTAGAGGACTGACACATTTCCGTTCCCCGTGACAAATATGGTACCCTGGATTACACCACTCTAAATAAAAACCAAACAATGACTTTTTAACATGAGCTGCAATTCGTTATACAATAGACTGGTTAGGTTAATGTACTTACTAGTACTCCCACGTGTAAAAATACATAACTAAATCATTTATTATGGGCTTTACTTAACTCCAGTATGCATTCATATATAGCTTTATTTAAGTCTATTATACGTTTGTCTTACTTTTTATGTTGTTCTAGTACAAACTTATCTTACATTTTATCTAATTCAATTACATGTTTATCTTACATTTTATTTAATTCCAGTACAAGTTTACCTTACATTTTATTTAATTACAGTACAAGTTTACCTTACATTTTATTTAATTACAGTACAAGTTTATCTTACGTTTATTTAATCCCGTTACATGTTTATCTTACATTTTATCTAATTCCATTACATGTTTATCTTACATTTTAAGTAGTTCCAGTACATGTTGTTATGCAGATAATATCTTGTACTGACGTATTTATGAAGCTGGCCCTCTGTCGTGTTTTCCAATATTATTGTGCATGTCTGTATGTGTGTGTATCTGTATCTGTCCTATTTTCCAATACCAGTGTTCATTTTTAAATGCTGGTCTTTTATCCCGTTTTTTTCTAATACTACTGTGTATATGTGAATGCTGGCCCTATGTTCTGTTCTCCAATACTATAGTATGTGCATGAATGCTTGTCTTCTTTCGTGTTCCAGTACTGTAGTGTGTGTGTGTGTGAATGAATGCTGACCCTCTATCTTGTTTTCCAGTACTGTAGTGTGTGTGTGAATGAATTCTGGCCCTCTATTCTGTTTTCCAGTACTGTAGTATGTATGAGTGATTGAATGCTGGTTCTCTCTACCTGTTTTCCAGTACTGTAGAGTGCGTGTGTGTGTGAAAGAATGCTGGCCCTCTATTCTGTTTTCCAGTACTGTAGTATGCATGAGTGATTGAATGCTGGCTCTCTCTCCTGCTTTCCAGTACTGTAGTATGTATGAGTGATTGAATGCTGGCCCTCTATCCTGTTTTCCAGTACTGTAGTGTGTGTGTGAATGAATTCTGGCCCTCTATTCTGTTTTCCAGTACTGTAGTATGTATGAGTGATTGAATGCTGGTTCTCTCTCTCCTCTTTTCCAGTACTGTAGTGTGTGTGTGTGTGAATGAATTAATATATTACAATAAAATAAAATAATAAATATATTAAAATTAAATAATAAATAAATATATTACAATAAAATAAAATAATAAATAAATATATTACAATAAAATAAAACGATAAATAAATAAACATATTACAATAAAATAAAATACAAAAATTAATAAATATATTACAATAAAATTAAATAAAAAATAAATAAATATATACGCTAAGATAAACTTCTAGAAACTTTAATTAAAATATTTCAATAATAATTTAAACTTAAAGGAGAATTGTATTGAGTTGGAAAACGAACAACTTCAATAAGGTCCGCGTGCGCTGTTTACAATGATTGGTTATCCAAAAAAATTAAATAAATAAGCGTACGTAATGTATTTTTATGATCACGCACGTGCTTCTAATGATATTGAAAATCTTTAAACCATAAATTATTAATAATATGAATTACTGCGACAACAACTTTCTCACAACGTTAACTGATCTGTTAGAATTGAAATAGTTTGAAATTTTCTATCGGTTTATAATTACTTATACATGTGTTTAAAGATATAATTTCAGATTTATTTTGAGAAAAACAAACATGCCACTTACGTATGTCTTGTACTTATACAGAGTATACACGTAAAAAAAAAAAGTCAGACATGCGAATATCTTGAGAAAAAAATAAAGTATATTATTCTTTTTCAGATCCTAACAGAAATATTGCCAGAAATACCTGCTTGGATCGTCTGTGAAAATCAATTGTCTTACACATTGTTTCAATAAGTTCTTAATCGAATTCGACATACCAAGTATAAAAATTATCACAAATCGTAATCTGTAACATTGCGAAATAGTGAGTTTACAAATTGTTGCGGATTTTGAGAAATACTTTTCATGATATTAAATGATAAATATTCCATTGCACCCCCAAACACCTGTTTTGATTTTCTTTTTCAGACATTTTGTCGAAGCTCAAGAAAGCAGGAGGCGGAGGCCCATCGAACCATCCGTCTCACCTGGTGACGTACTTGCACTGAATGATAATCAGTAGGTATTATCTGAATATATCACTGATTAGAAGTGCGATATTCGCGCCTTACGGAATCAGTAGGTATTAGCTGAATATATCACTGATTAGGAGTGCGATATTCGCGCCTTACGGAATCAGTAGGTATTAGCTGAATATATCACTGATTAGAAGTGCGATATTCACGCCATACGGAATCAGTAGGTATTAGCTGAATATATCACTGATTAGGAGTGCGACATTCGCGCCTTACGGAAGCAGTAGAACTACCTACCACAATAAGCTTCGTCGCTGTAATCCCAGCAGTCAGCCACACCGTCGCAGATCTTACGAAACTGGCTTCCAGAGCGCAGGTAGTCAGAACAATCTGAAATAGAACACCAGTTAATAAGGATCCTCAAGCAAAATGTCGTGCTGTTGAAGTCTAACGCATACAGTGTTACATAATTTATTAAATGTCAGTAAACAGCTAATAACCATAAATATATACCAAGAGCTTAAAGCTTCTTACTTAAACATAAGGCAGTAAGTTCAGGTAAAGCTCTAGAAGTTGTACACCATTCATTCGAAAAAACAAAATGCTATCAGCGACGAATAATACTGGAATAAGAAAAACTGTTATTAGGAAACACGCGTGTAAATTAAATGAGTTTTAAACTGAATGGAACTTTACTTTTAAATTACTAATTAAAGATTTCATTAAGTTATTTATTATTTTTGCTTTTTAATTATTTTGTTTGTTTGTATGTTGTTATGCGCAACGCTACACAATGGCCTATCTGGGTTGTGCCCACCATGGATATCGATACCCAGCTTTTTCAGCATTGAAAACTTTCAGACCAACCGCTGAGCCACTGGGGTGGGGTCGGAGGCATTATATATTTGTATAAATACTTGTATCGGGTTGTAAAAACCTAAATAATAGTCGTTTGTAACTGTGAAAAAGTTATTCAAATCTAAATAAAACAAAAGAGTTGAAATCACCTCTGACTTACATATACATATATGTATGTGTAATGCAAGTAACTTTACCATCGGACGGGTTAGTTAATCAATCTTCAGTTGTCCTTAACTTTACCATCGAACAGGGTCGTTATTTAGTCTTCAGTTATCCTTAACTTTACCATCGGACGGGTTAGTTAGTTAGTTTTCAGTTGTCTTTAACTTTACCATCGGAAGGGTTAGTTAGTTAGTTAGTCTTCAGTTGTCTTTGACTTTACCATCGGACGGGTTAGTTAGTTAGTTAGTTTTTCAGTTATCTTTAACTTTGCCATCGGATGGGTTAGTTAGTTAGTTGTTTTTTAATTATGCACAAAGCTACACAAGGGCTATCTGTGCTCTGCCTACCATGGGTATCGAAACCCGGTTTCTAGCGTTGTAAGTCCGCAGACATACCGCTGTACCACTGGGGGGCTAGTTAGTTAGTTTTCAGTTGTCCTTAACTTTACCATCGGACGGGTTAGTTAGTTAGTTTTCAGTTATCCTTATGAAACAGAGCTGTGGTGAACAATACTGTGTTTGCACTAAGTTAGGATTGTGTACTCACGTGCTCTTTGAGCTCTGTTACTGTTTGTTGTTGTGTAGGTAGGTAGGTTTTGGGGTTTTATTGACGCAAAGCAACGTGGCTATCTACGCCAAACAACCAGTATAAAAATAAAAACAAAACGTAAAACTCTATAAAAAGTAAAAAGAAATCAAGTTAAAAGCTAAACAATGTCCAAAAATCAGGTAAAAATGCAAATAGACTTAAAAAGACCAATGAATCTTAAAAATTTAAAAACCCAATCAAGCTGGACAGTGTCACCATCGCCAATGACACCGTCCAACGTCAGGGGTAAACCCTTAGAAAATACATGTCTAAAATGGTTCACATTTGTAACGACGGCCCGAAGGTAAAACGTTGGCAATTGTGATCTGAGTGTCACAAAGGCCAAACAATAGCGGATCAGTCCCACATAACAGAAAACGATGAGTTAAAATACTGTGACCAATACGTAGCCTAGTCAAGAAAACTTCCTCCCGCCGATCCTTACAGAAACTAGACGGCCAAAGAACAACAGAAGGTTTGATTTGGAAATGTTTGTTATGAAGTTGCTCACCCCAAGTCGACTGCCTACTGGCAACTGCCAACTTGATCACAGGACCATAGTCCATATATGGGGCAGGCAATGCCGTGACAGCGCCAGAGCAGACGGACCTAGCTGCGGTGACTGCAAGACCGTTCTCGCGAATACCAACACAAAAACTAGATAGAAATAGATAACAAAGAAGAATGGGCTAGTCGCTTCTGAATATCCAAGAGAACAGGGTGAGAGTTCGCATTAAGCGATTCCAGGGCCATTAGAGAGCTCAGAGAGTCGGTGTAAATGGTAGTTACTGTACTGCTTAGCTTCTATAAGATCCAAGGCATGAGAAATGGCACAAAACTTGGCAGTAAACACAGAAACTGAAGAGGAAATTCTGTGAGCAACCACTGAGCCAAAAAAAAAAAAAACCATGGCAGAGCCTACAGAGTCACTTGATTTCGAACCATCCATAAAAACGGGAACAAAAGAATGGTTTGAAAGATGCTCAGCAAAGAGAAGACGGTACTTCCAATCGGGAGTATGCGTCTTCCTCATATGACACAAAGAAAGGCCAAAGGTGGAGATGGTAACGAGCCATGGAGGAATGGTCTGGTCATCAGATTCAGCATCACCATCCAATGCAAAAGATATACCAGGCCCATTTCTGAGCCTTCCATGCCTACTGGCAGGCAGGAGTCCACCATGAGAAATGTATCGAGGTTTTGGGAATAGAACGAACAGCTGCTTGAATAATACAATCAGTTAATGAATAGTACAATCGGGCCGGGCATGGCCAGGTGGTTAGGGCACTCGACTCACAATCTGAGGGTCGCGGGTTCGAATCCCCGTCACACCAAACATGCTCGCCTTTTCAGCCATGGGCGTTATAAAGTGACGGTCAATCCCACTATTCGTTGGTAAAAGAGTAGCCCAAGAGTTGGCGGTAGGTGGTTATGACTAGCTGTCTTCCCTCTAGTCTTACACTGTTAAATTAGGGACGTCTAGCGCAGATAGCCATCGTGTAGCTTTGCGCGAAATTCAAAAACAAACAATAGTACAATCAGTTGGTGCCTCCATGCAGTTGATAATCGATGGAAGACCAACAACAGTAGGATCAAGTTCGGAGAAAGTGGTATGGGAGAGCCAGTCGGCTTGCTTCAACTTCCACCATGTCACACGGGTCTGGTGGCATCGACCTCGGCCAATCTTCCTCAAAATGATTGGAAAATGATCACTGCCCATAGGTCACTATCAACCCTCCAAGAAAATGAGAGAAAAGCGAAGGTGAACAGAGAGGTAGATCGATAGCAGTAAATGACTGACTAGGTGTGTGAAAATAGGTAAAATAACCAGTACTTAAGAGAGAACGGTTGTGATCTGAGAGCTCAGAACAACCCTTCCCATCAATATCAGCACCACTCCAGAGAGGATTGTGTACATTAAAGTATCCTAAGATGAAGAAGGGAGACAGCAACTGTTCTATGAGAGCATCAAAGTCTGAGTAATCATAAGTCTCTCCTGGAAACAGGTAAAGAGAACAAACAGTGATGGCATGGCCCACAGAGATATGGATGGCTACAGCCTCCAGGGATGTATCGAGTGACACAGACAAGGTGGGTATGTGCTGGTCAACCAGCAGCACCAAACCTTCATTAACTCGACCATTACACAACCTGTCATTCGTGTACAAGGAAAACTGCCAAAAGGTCACAGTATCATCATGCTGAAGGAATGTTTATTGCAAGTAGAGACACACGAGATGATAGGTATCAATCAAGGCCTTAATATCATCCAAATGAGAATGAAAAATTCGACAGTTCCACTGTATCAAAGTGCCCATTTTTATTTAGAAGGAGGAGAATTAGGCAGAGAACCCTTTTGTTTGTGACCACGATGTTTTTCTATAATAGAAAAAGATCTATCGACCTCCATGGAACCTGCCCTAGGACGATTGGCCAGATCTCTGCCGGAAGAAAGAGATTCCAGTGACTGAGGGCATGACTGAATAATGGCCGTGTATCTCAAGGCTGAACGAGAGGGACCCGAGCAATCACTGGACGTGATAGTGGAGTCAGAAACAGGAGTAGACGTAGACTTGTCAACTTTTGCATCCATAGAGGGCAAAAGACTCTTCACTGGACGTGATGGTGGAGTCAGAAACAGGAGTAGACGTGGACTTGTCAACTTTTGCATCCATAGAGGGCAAAAGACTCTATTGGAAGCAAGGAAAGATCTGTCTGCACTCCCACTGTAACAGTGGAATGGAGTACAGCAGAATATGTACGAGATGGAACTGGAAACAACCACTTCCGAGTCTCTGGGTAAGAAATGTTATTTACAGTCCTCAAGTACTGTACCTCTTTCTCCTCCACCCATTTTTAGCATGAACGAAAGTATGAGGGGTAGAAACCACCACAATTGACACAGTGAGTGTCCATTTGACACTTGTAGACGTCGGGGTCTTTGGAACCACAATGAACACACGTCAAAGAACCACGACAAGATGCCTTAGAATGTCCGAGCTGCTGACACACAAAACACCGGAGAGTATTAGGAATATAAGAGAGTTTAGATAACCTGCTTTGACAGGGGGACATGACAATGTAAACGTTAATACAAGAACATTAGAAGGCAGCATAACCCCATCTTTATGAGTCGAGATACGTCACACAGTATAAACTCCTTGGCTGGAGAAACCAGCCAAGGAGTTCGGACTCTGGAATGTTTCTTAAATTCCTCTCAATGATAACTCTTCGAGAGGAATTCAAAGTAGCATGTGGAGTAACCTCAAGAGTAACCCTTTGATTTCAGGAGGAGTTCGCTGTATTTTTATGTAGATATTTTCACCAAGATGTCCCCAGAAAGTAGTTTCTTAGTTGACTTTGGAAACCCAGCAAGCCCCTCTAATCCCTTCTGAATGAAAATGGAATACATTTATCCTAAAGGTTTGTCACACATAGAATGCAGAATAAAAAAATGACGCACATGAACAGAAGTGGTGGTGACTGCTGTTCAGAGTCTTCCAAAAGTGGTCGCTTTCTTATCAATGAGCTTTTTAACGTGTGTTTTTTTGGGGGAGTCATTGGGTGCAGGATCCAGAAAAATGGAGAAAATTCAGTGGCCACAGACCCCATCCACTATGGAGCACTATGAGGGGACGCACTACAACGCCACACATAGACAATGTAGCTACGTCAGGGTTTCGTGGGCACTATACCCAAACACCAGCATTAGGCATAATATCCACAACACCTGTTGAGAACGTCCAACACTGGCACTTAGTTGTCAACCTATTTCACTGAGGTGACAGTTTCAAACGGAGCATCCGCTTTTATAAGTTTTATTAACTGGTAGTAATGTTTTTTTAAAAATCCTAATTCTAGTGCAAACGATGTTATCATTACCCCTTGAAGTTGGCTTTCTGACAGAAATTTGTTCCTTTAAAAACCTTAAGTACAGAGTGAAACAGGAATTACCAACCAATAATAGATAAACAAAAAATATTACAGTTGGAACCTCACTGTATGTAAAATTTGGTTATAAATACAACCTTCCTATGTCTGTTGAAACACTGCACTAAAAAACAAGTAAAGAAAAACTTCAAAAAAAAAGGAAGTAAATGTGGGGATGGCTGATATCAATCCTTCAAATACAATACAAACAAGATAGTAGGGATGGTATTTGCATCATCTTTACATAATAGAATTTACTTCCTTTTTTGAAAATATTTTTCTTTAATTGTTCATGTAGTAGTGAAGAAAACAACGTTTTTCTGGTCATATTGTATTTATAGTGGTGAACAAAACAACGTTTTCTGGTCATATTGTATTTATAGTGGTGAACAAAACAACGTTTTGTGGTCATATTGTATTTACAGTAGTGAGCAAAACAACGTTTTCTGGTCATATTGTATTTATAGTAGTGAACAAAACAACGTTTTCTGGTCATATTGTATTTATAGTAGTGAACAAATCAACGTTTTCTGGTCATATTGTATTTATAGTAGTGAACAAAACAACGTTTTCTGGTCATATTGTATTTATAGTAGTGAACAAAACAACGTTTTCTGGTCATATTGTATTTATCATACCAGCTCGTTTCAATACATCATTTATCATCTTGAGTTGTACTTACTGCAACTAAATTCGTCGGATCCATCTGCACAATGAACGTATTTATCACAACGTTTAGTCTTTGAAATACAGGTACCATCTGCACATCGAAACGTTGTTTCTTCTGGACAGTCTGAGTATATAAAAAATTGTAAAAGAAGAAAATCATCGTTAATAATCTTCTTAAATACGTGTACTTTATGTATGGTAATTTGATTGATTTTAATATAGAAACAGAGAATACGGATTTAATTACAGATTTGAATTCCGCTAGTTTACGTTAAAAATATAAAAACAAGTGATTATAATAACTAAAGTACAATTGTGTAAGCGTAGCTCAATAATCCAAATCGCTTACGCGGTCTCTCAGAAACAGTTTCTGTCTTGTTATTTTGATGATTTAAAAAATAAAGAGAGGTATATATACACACACCACGAAATGCATTTATAAATAGATTGACAGATACGATTTAATACTTTTCTGTAAGAGAGCCAATGGAACAAAAATTCTTCCCCGTCTAAAAATGAAGATGTTTTTGAACTAAGGAATGGTTGCACATCTATAAAACCATAGCAAACACTACAGAATGTATTAACAGTTTCATCTCAGCTGTACGTTTCAACCAGATCTGATTCTATTATATCTTGATTGACAAACAAAATGTGCGGCTTTGTAGTTTACGGGTTTCAGTGTCCTATTGTGGTAATTTTAGCCCTAACTATTAAGTATTTCAAACAGAGCACAAACCCAATTTAAGTGCGAGAGTATACATTGTGCTTTTTTAACCTAGGCAACAAAGTTTGTTTTTAGTAGTGGTTTATTTTTAACCCAGTCAACAAGGTTTGTTTTCAGTAGTGCTTTTTTTTTTAAATCCAATTAACAAGGTGTGTTTTTATTAGTGCTTTTATTTAACCTAGTCCACAAGGTGTATTTTCAGTAGTGCTTTTTTTAACCCCAATCAACAAGGTGTAATTTCAGTAGTGCTTTTTTAAACCAATCAACAAGGTGTGGTTTCAGAATTGAATATTTAAACCGGGCGGATATTCTTGGATAAATTTTCTAAACAATAAAGCTATAAACATGAATGATAGAGCAGCGTCAGTCTTCTAGTCATCGGGTTAATGTGACGTAATTTAGCAGGATCCTTAAAATATGGGGCAAATGCAGCCCTATGTTAGCATGCTGGACTGTGGATCTGAGATTCCGTGGTTTGTGTCCCGTTACTGCCAAAAATAACCGCACTTTGGGGGCCATGGATGTGTTATAAAAGTAACGGTTAAATCCTAATATTCAGTCTGACAAGATAAGCTGATGAGTTGGCGGTGGGCTGTGTTGACCAGCTGCCTTCATTCCCATCAACTTATCGCTTCAAAATTAGGAACAACTAGTGTTGATAGTTCTGCGCAAAATTCATAACAAAACAACTTAAAATATGCCAATTAGCCTATGAAGCTAATGCATTATGTCGAGATCTGTTTCATTGTCAAAGATAGATTATTAACAGACCACTTTTGGATTAGAATAGCCCAAGACTTGAAGTGAGTGCTATTCACTAGCTTCCTCTAGTTTGTCAGTTCAAAATTGGGGAATGCTATGTGTAGATAACCCATGTAATAGTTAGAATATTTTCTTAAATAGGAAACTCGGAAAGAGTAACCAAATAGGATTCGAACCCGGGTGTTCTAACTACCCTCTCAATTATTAGTTTCGTTATCGTTTGTATATTGATTCAAATATAAGTTTACTAATGAAATAAAATCTTATGTTAATTAAAAAGAAAAAAGAAAACATACCATATTTAGAAGGATACGAGGTAACTTCTGTTGTACTAAAGACAGAAATTTCTTGTAAGTCACTAGTCATAAGCTTCGTTGTGATTGGCTGTTCTATCAAAACGTCGTCCTCCTTGTGGGTTTTGGTAGTGTTATTAGGATGTGTTCTGGTTTGATCCCCGTATGAATTGCTTCCTTTCACGTCACCTACATTTTGTGATTTTGAATTAAGATTAGAATTTCCGTGCAGATGGGTGTGATGTCCCTGGACACTTTTGAGAACAACGTCATTAGGTTTTGATAGTATATTTGGCGCTACGATTTTTGGAACGTTTCTAAACTGTTCAACTGACTCTTCTGCTTTCAGGTCGTCCTCACTTCTTCCGCCCCGCCGTGTTATTATGGTTTCCCCTTTACGAACACGTAAGTCCGTGCCTTGCGTAGGAGCAACAATGAAGAGTGACTGACCCACTAACAATGAAGTCACCCCTTGGCCCTCTGGAAGTTTAACATCTTCAGTCCGACGATTTTGTTTTTCACTTAATCTTGAAGATGCTGAAGAATTTTTCACGCGATCTCCTCTATCTGGTAAAGGGATGAACGCTTGCCCTTTACTTGATCCCCGGATGAAGAGTGGCACACTGACGTGAAGGTCTTCAAAATGACTTGATGGAGGACGTCGCAGGGGCTTCGAGGCTGTTGTTCGTGGTTGAGGCGTTGAAGTTCTGTATGGCACGTCTATTCGTTTATTGCTCTTTTGAGGAAACTGAGCAGGTCGAGGTCGGTTCAGGTTCCTAATGAATAATGATGTCCCTACACTAAACTCACCCGCAATGTCTGATTCTTGGTTTTGTCGGTTTTCATCATTTGATTTAGTAGCGCGAGGTGGGCTTGGATTATTCACTTCCAGTGGCAATAGAAATGTTTGACCTTTACTGTTTTCGGATGTTCTTATCGACAAAGGTACTTCGGCCAAAATTTCACCGGCTTCGATCGTTGAAATTACTGTAGTTGTGCTAGTAGTAGTACGAGATTCCGAATTTTTTCCCCAGCTTTCATTTTCGTTGTTTTTCACGGGAAGTAGTACATGCCGATCTTTCTTCTGACCACCTCTAATTAGCAAAGGAACGCCAACAGCGATATCTGGCAGGAAACGCACTTCACCTCTGGATGGTCTGGGGAAGCGAAGATGTTCTTCGAGATTTTTTAGTGGTTCTGTCTCAACATCAGCATCGTCCGCGTTTTCCTGGTGTTCCATCTTTACTTCCTTCGTCTCGTCAGGAGTCTGAAACTCGTATTCTTTATGTTTTAAGTAATCTTCTTTTATTTCAGATGGATGAAGTACCACTTTTCTTTCCAATGACTTGGTATCCATCCCTTCGAAATCACTTGACTCTTCTTCTTTTCTTGGTCTCAAATGGATCTGCGGAACCACAAAACCGTCAACCATAACAACGCCTTCTTCACTGGCATTTCTGTTATTGACATTAAAATTATCTTGTAGGTGTTCCTTTGGAATCGAATCATCTTTTGTTTCCAGAGCAATCGGGATCCATTCAGATCCATCGTCAGGTACTGAATGTTTTAAGTCGTCCAGAGGAAGCACATCAATATTGTCAATAGAACTGGAAGTACTATTAGATGGTACGACATCTGTAAGTGGTTTTGAAGATGAACTCAGAGAGTCTGATATTTTGACACTAACTCCATCTGGTGAGACAAAGGTATCAACTAAATCGCCAGCGGGTCGTGCAGCCTGTGCATTAATTCGTGAATTCGACTTTTCATTCAACTGGTGTATATAAAAGCTATCACCAACATCGTCAGTCCTATCGATCTGAACATAAGAAGCGTTTTCTTGATGAAGCTTGACAGTCTGGAGTCGTGTGAGATGAGGAAAAGAGCCTTTTAGAGGAGGAGCGGGAGGCGGTGTAATGATTTTATCCAAGTGATCTGTTGTCTGACTCGGAATAACAGGGCGCCAGGAGCCGTAGTTAAAGATCAGAGTTTTTTCTGTGCTCTGGTGACTTTTTCGATGCTTCAATTCTTCATGTCCACTAAAAGTAACTCGACTAGCTTCCTGTCCAGGAGACGGAAGGGAACTTGATTCAAGTCCAGGAGGCACTGTTAGCTCGAAAGGAGTTTCCACGTCCTTTCCTGTTTCTAGAGTTGTAACCTCCACAAAATTATCGTTAGAAACAAGGGAATTGTTCGTTTTTCCAGTTTCGACTCCATAAGATTCTGAAAAATATCAATTATAAATAATACAACTTCATTTTACCTAACTTGTTAAACCAAAAACTGCTTTCTAGTGTACGGATATCACAGTTAATTCGCCATCACAAAGTAATAATTTCAATTACAAATTATTGTTTTTAAGTTATCCAATATTGTCGTCTTGCAGAGGGATGCTACGTTTACTGAAATATTTAATGATTAATAAGTTTTCACCACAAATTTAAAAATACATATATTTGTTCTCTACTTTTGTAGAATAGCGTCATGTGAATTGTGTTAACAGCCGTTTTTATTTTATTTCCAGGGTTAACAAGGTTTAATTAATTACCTATATCAAACAATGTAAAAAGTAAAAAGATAAATACACTTACTTTGTAAATAGGATGCGTCATATTATTGCAAAGACATCTGTCAAACTATAAGTTTCATAAATTAACCAACCTTTTATCGTATTTGTTTATACATTTAGTTTAAGATGTACACGAGCATTGTAAAAAAAGAATCGACTAATTACCTTCAACTTCAACAGATTGCAGGTCTATTTTCAGTCCGCTAAAAAGTGGAGTTTTAGTTTGTAATTCGTCCACCAACACGTCACGAGCCTTGGCTGGAGGGTCAGAGATAATAGTTTCATCTAGTTTTCGTCTATCGAGATATAGACGAAAAAAAACATCCAAGCTTCCTTCACTATAGCGAAAGTAATACGAAACGTTTATCGTCAGTTGTCCATACCATATCGTAATAGTGTTTTATTTGATTCTTTAGTTTGGTTTGTTTTGATAGTTTTAAGATTGTTTTAAACCCTCTAACTCCAAATAATGTATTAAGTATGTGAAAACGTTTAACTAAAATAGTTTTTCCAAATAAATAGACCTTACAGAAAAATGACACTTATTATTGTTTCATTTATGCGCCACAGGTGGCTAAAATGTTAATAAAACATTAAAAACGTAAGATAAGTAATTAAGTTCGGATTCTTTATTTAGATAAAACTTAAAAATAAATTTTTGTGACTGTAATTTAATGAAATATATGAGATTTTCATAATTTTTCCATTCTAATTTTAACTGCATTGAACCAAGATATCAATAAGGTAATTAATTTCTCTGTTTCATTATAGTAATTTTATGGAAGAAAACTGGTTTTTACATTAATAAATATAACAACTTACCGAAAGGCGTAGACCTTGACCTTCATAACTGAATCACCTAAGCTGCTGCTCATGTAGAGAGATTCAATCTGAACGTATGGAGTAAATATTAGATAGATTTAGTAAAATAAAATAAAATAAAAATACACATAGAAGCTTTGCTTCTTACATAATTATGCACTAACATTAACTTGTTAGTTAAATGTTAAAGAAAGTAAAAATCACACCTTGAATTACCTTACCTCTCAAATAAAAAATCTAACAACGTTTCAGACACAGGCAGTAAACAATCATAGCTGTCTGATGTAAACTTATGGCCGAACCGTTGCTAATAATTTGTTTGTTGGATTCCACTTCCTTTTACCTAAACACTGTTTCTTAATCTTAAAGGGTATTGGTATCCATTATAAAGGGCAAGTATTTTTGGTAAGAGATTCAGTGTTAGCTTCCCTCCATTTTGCCTATGTACTAAAACACTGGAATAAATATACACAACTTTGCTTTACGGTAAAATAAACATTGAAAAATATTAAGACAGGTTTAAATCTAATGACGAGAAGGAGGGAAGTTTTTTTAACATACAATGTATATTCAATCAAATGCCAGGCCCGGCGTGACCAAGGTGGTTAGGGCACTCGACTCACAATCTCAGGGTCGTGGGTTCGAATCCCCGTTCCACCAAACATGCTCGCCCTTTCAGCCGTGAGGGCGTTATAATGTGACGGTCAATCCCACTATTCGTTGGTAAAAGAGTACCCTCCAGAGTTGGCGATGGGTGGTGATGACTAGCTGCATTCCCTCTAGTCTTACACTGCTAAATTATGGACGGCTAGCGCAGATAGCCCTCGTGTAGCTTTGCGCGAAATTCAAAAACAAACCAAACTAAAGAATCAAATGCTCGATTTATGATTTAGGAGAAGAGATGACTTTGAAGTTTGAAAAGATGTCCTGTTTGTATATGTATGTTTAGGAATGGACGAATGAGGAGAGTTGTTTGTCTCTTTTGTCCCATGTGTTTACGTGCTAGTACTTTAAGCAGTAATACTGTTGCACCAATATTAAGAGGCCTTAAAGTCTTCTCATGTATATAAATAATCAAGCCGTGAACAACTGGAAATTGGTAAGTGGTCCTTACGGTAAAAAAAACAAAGTTTTACAGTCTGAAGATGGGTTAAAAATAGCTTTCAGATTAAATTATGGGCACAGTTTACAAAATTGCGAAAAAGGAACAAATTTCGCAGTCAAAAAGTAACAAACAATGACAACTCATCTGATATAAACGACATTTTTCAGAATTCTGTTCTGTTTCTTTAGGTATAATTTTTCACAAACATTTGATCTGTTGAATATCTTAATTTTTATCGTTACCTGTCACTCACGAATAATATTTGTTTTAGAGCAGAGCCATATTGGGCTCTCTGCTGTGTCCACCGCGGGGAATCGAACCTCGGAGCGTTGTAAGTCTGTAATACCGTTGTCCCATCGGTGGACTTACGCATAATAAGGTTTCGTTCCACATAACAAATATTTTTTATCGATGTTATAATACATTTTCATAATTTGTAGACAATAAAAGTCATTCATTTTAGCTCATCGGAAAATAGTCTTTTACACTAAGTTATTCAATACAGTCCTACAACATACATTGTTAGGTTTCAAAGGTACGTATATTTGATCTGCCATGTTAGGGTTAAGTGAGTAAATATGTATATTTTTATCTATAATATGTGTGTCAAGCGTTGAACGTACGTGTCAGTTACTTACTACGCATGTGTGAAGTTGAATGACAAAAATATGTAGAAACACACCTATTATGTATCTTGTATTACCTAAAGTATTGGGGCAGTAAAACTTAAGATTCGTTTCGTTGCAGGATCCCATTTTTCTAGGGGCATCATTTGGTATTAATCGCAGCCTGAATTGTTACAAACTGTTGGCATCAACTGTTGGTGCGTATCTAGAAATTAATCCTCCCACTCCTCTTGCATAGCAGCTATAAATATAGGGGGATTTCAATATCTGCATCTTCCGTTGTTTCTCAGGCGTTGTTTCTAAACGTTCTAGCGCGACTCACCTAAATTCAGACCATGGCTCTGGGCTGGCTAATACAGATTTGCAGACGTGAAGTGTAACATTGTGCTGATGATAGAGTATGGTTCTTCCCCTATAAAATTCTATCAATGCAGTAAGTGTAACAACGTCCAAAATATTGGGCATTGTGCTGATGAAAGAGTATGGTCCTTCCCTTATAAAATTCTATCACTGCAGTAAGTGTAGCAACGTCCAAAATATTGGGCATTGTGCTGATGAAAGATTATGGTTCTTCCCCTATAAAATTCTATCATTGCAGTAAGTGTAGCAACGTCCAAAATGTTCGACATTGTGCTGATGAAAGAGTATGTCCGTTCCCCTATAAAATTCTATCATTGCAGTAAGTGTAGCAACGTCCAAAATACTGGGCATTGTGCTGATGAAAGATTATGGTTCTTCCCCTATAAAATTCTATCAATGCAGTAAGTGTAGCAACGTCCAAAATATTGGGCATTGTGCTGATGAAAGAGTATGGTCCTTCCTCTATAAAATTCTATAAATTCAGTAAGAGTGTAGCAACGTTCAAAATGTTAGGTATCTATGTCAGCTGTCAAAATAAAAGTAAATTCATTTAGTGTTCAAGTATCATAAATACTTCAAGACGAAGGGAGCATTTGGCTCTTATGAGTACTTCAAAATAAACGATATACAACTAGCTAATATACCACAAGCATTCAGACTCTGTTGAGAAATGTGTGTGTGTGTCCTGCGAAGGATATGCAACTAGCTAATATACCACAAATTTCTCAACAGAGTTTGAATACTTGTTGTATATTAGCTAGTCGTATATCCTTCGCAGGACACACACACATTTCTCAACAGAGTTTGAATACTTGTGGTATATTAGCTAGTTGTATATCCTTTGCAGGACACACACACACATTTCTCAACAGAGTCTGAATACTTGTGGTATATTAGCTAGTTGCATATCCTTCGCAGGACACACACACACATTTCTCAACAGAGTTTGAACACTGTGTGTGTGTCCTGCGAAGGATATGCAACTAGCTAATATACCACAAGTGTTCAAACTCTGTTGAGAAATGTGTGTGTGTGTGTCCTGCGAAGGATATGCAACTAGCTAATATACCACAAGTGTTCAAACTCTATTGAGAAATTTGTGTGTGTTCTGCGAAGGATATACAACTAGTTAATATACCACAAATATTCAGATTCTATTCAGAAATGTGAGTGTCCTGTGGAAGAATCAG